CAGTCTTAAAGGCTGCAGCTGGACCCTACTCAGAGCTACAGCCAGTCTATGGTTACAGCCCCACCTAGTGGCAGGTGGCTGCATTATGGGTTGAGCACAACAGAGAGTGGAGAATCATGATCCTTTTTTTAAATGACAAAACATGTAAACATTGCATAAATGGACTCATACTAATGCTAGCTGTAGCTGCTCTCTGTTACACCTTAAAGTTGTCAGAGGTGAGGCGCTGTATTTGGGGATTTACCTGTTTTTGAAAAAACATTTTTCCTTTATTTTAAATCAAAATGATCCTTTTATGATACTTTATGATTTTTACATGGTGCAACAGATATTTTTACAAAGTAAAAAGCACATTTAAATATCTACTCAGAGCATTTTGACCTTGTAGGGCGCTGAACTCACCGATGTTTGAAAGAGGCTGCTGGAAAGTTGTGAAAAACTGGAAGGATTCACCTCAATTAGTCATCAGAGAGAAACAGACTTTTCTTGACTGCAGCTCTGCTCTCACTATGACTGACTTTCACTTTAACTGAAAATAATCTGATATCAAAGCTCCTCCTCCTTTTAGTGTAGCTCTGTAAGGGAGGTTTTATTGCCTCCTTTGGAAATTCGTGAACAAAGCATTATTTATTCTACCAGAGAAAACATACAGCAGCCAAGAGGGGCGGCTGTGGCTTAGTGGTAGAGTCAGTCCCCAGCTCCTGCAGCAAAATGTCCGCTGTGCAAGACACTTATCCCCGAATTGCTCCCACTGCTTCATCAGCGGCGTATGAGTGTGTATGAACGGGATTAGTTACTTCTGATGTAAACTTTACGACCTCTGCCATCAGTGTGTGAATGTGTAGGTGTAATCTGCAGTCTAAGAGCTGTCTACTGTCAGATTGTGTAGGCACCTTGCAACTCAGAAGCACCCAGGGTGTATAATATCGAGTGACTGAGTAAAGGCAGGTGAACAGAGGAGCAAAACTGTGACAGTGTGTGATAAAGGACAAATTGTAACCTTATTTTGAAAAGGCAATTTAGTGCAGGTACCCATATTGAAACATGTGTAACGGTATCAATGAACACCAACCATCACCACCAAGACTTCAAAAAAGTGGAGGAAAATGTAAGACCAAAACAAGCGTAGGTTTAAATAATCCATGTCCAGACACTCAGGGTGGTTAGAAAACTATAAAAGGCCTTTAATTCATTGGGCTAGAAACATTCAAATACACCAACACGTGCAGTCTGCACCCTGAAGAAAGCGCAAGCCGATATGCGTTGGTTTATATGAATGTCTTCAGACTATTTTTCCCCAGACTAAAGGTGCAGTTGCTACATTTTTGTTGCATGTAAAGTGCTATCCTAATAAAGTCTGATTCATAAAGATAATGGCTGCAGTTTCTTATAAATTCCACGAGGGCGTCCTTACATGTCCCTTGGCATAGACTGTAAGGATGTCCTCATGTTTTGAGACCAAGACCGATTTGGAGAACTACAACACTACCGCTGGGTCTCCACTGAATTTCAGTGTTACATTTTAGTGTGAAATATATAAAAAATGACATTTTCTTACCGTGAGAAAATCCCTAAAATGGTTCGAGCCGGCCATGGTGAAAAAGGTCTGAAGGGTTTGGCATAAAATGATCACTCTGTACACGAAAGAGTTTAATTTACTTTTTATTCCTGATAATGATCCCGCTACAGGAGAAGGTAAAGATCAGTTACAGCTCGAGGTCGACTGATTTACTCGATCAAACTACTTTTCAGGGTCACATTTAAACAACACTGATGAAGACAAATAATATTCTTTGTTAGCTGCAGAGGTTTAAATTGGGAGAATCTAACACTTGAAAGCTAAATTAAAAAAATGTCTTAATTACATAAAAAGCAAAAAATAGTTTGAAGAATCACCGGACTTTATTCTGAAATATTAGAGATGATCAGAAAGATTTAGATTTATTAGTAATATAAAATAATAATTTGCAATGCTTATCCTTCATCCTACATGTTTTTGGCTGAACAGCTAATACACTAGTGATTTTCTCATTTATTATCTCTACTCCTACTTGTTCACTTATACTATAGTTTTTACAAACACTTCACTGAGTTGCTTTAAGGGCCCGGTCACCACAGCAACAACATCTGTTACTTCAGCGTTATCTCAGCAGCAAGTTATCACCCTGCTCTCTTAGCTTAACTTTTCCGTTATGTGACTCTTAATACAATTTTTGTTGAACTTTGTCTGCCTTGTAAAAACTTCTTCTTGACAAAACCATCGTCATTCAAGTCATTTTTTAAATGAACTTTGTTAGCAACGGGGCTGGCTAGCTTCCTAACTCAAAATTCTGTTTCCACTGTTCAGTTCTCAATTTGTTCATAACATGAGTTAACAGCCTAGCAGAGCCGTATTAGCAAATAGCTACTGCGATTGGGTAGAACTAGCATGTTCCTAGCTTGCTAGCTTTTAACTGTACGCTTGCGAGATACAGCAGTTCACTTTTTAGCCCTGTGAGTTGAATGAATTTTGCTGTGTCATTATCAGGTAGGCTACAAAGACCGGGCCTTTTCTGGCAGAACTTTTAGTGTGCCTGATTAGCAAGGAGCTAACTTGCTAATCAAGCTAACTTGAATGCTAGCTGTTCTGGTTGAAAATGTTAGCTTCTGCCTTAGAGCAACTAAGCTTGCTTAGCAAGCTTTCATGGCTAAATAAAGCCATTTAGAAGCATTTTAGCAGTTAACTAATTTGCTGGATCATTTGCTAAGAATTATTTTAGTTAAGCAAATTTCCTGCAATCTATATTTTGTGAAAACATGCACATTTGCTAGTTCAAGTCTTCAGTTGGCTCTACATGTACACAAAAACAATTAATTACAGCCTACTAAATGTAAATACTTTTATCATCTCCAAATAAAAAAAAAAAAACTCCCATCAGTCGACCTCTTTGAGTGCATGCTTGAAACATTTGGTTTGTTGTTCGTCAAGGTTTTACAGCAAACATTTAGACTCTGATTGTACATCAGTATAACATGAACAGATCAGTCAGAGGTCTTCACAGGTCCACTCAGGTCCTATCAAACAAGATGCCAGGCGGTCCACGTTAATGTCAGTCTGTTCAGGTCTGTCAGGATTTCATTTTTGTCATCCTCTTTAATGTAAGTGCAGCATCATTAATATTTGCATGTAGGGTTCAGGTAGTGTACAATGGTGCTGTTTTAATTTGACCCAAGATTTTTGGACCTGTGAAGACCTTTAGACTGAGCTACATACACAAGCTAAATCATTAAACCTCGGCTGGTATTTGGTTGGATGAGGATCAAGAGAAAGCTGATTGGTTGGTTTTTCTGAGCACCATGAGCTGCTACTGGTTCACTCCACTGTCATTTAGAGTCCAGCTCGACAACAGCAGAGAGGAAACAGAACTGCTGGATACCCAACAAACGAAACAAAACAACAGCATCTATGGTCTGATAGTGTGGTGCTGACACTGGACTTTCTGTCTGGTTCGTCTCAGGGTCAGTAACATGAAAAGTAATTATATTCTACACATCACCAGTGTTAGAGGGAGGGACGTGCGGCTATTAAAACCATAAAGAATCATCCATTGACCAAACTATTGGATGGACCAACATTACTTAATTTCTTCACAAAGTGAAAAAAATTCAAAAATATATACGTAAAACTTGGAAATGACATTCCAGATGATGGTGCTACATGCTGATTGGATTTTGTATAAAGAAATTCACCTTTTGGAAGAGAGCAGCGGCTACACAGACGGTTAACATCAGGCTACAGCGTGATCAGAGCTGCCCGCCGTAAATGTTTAAAGGTCACATATTATTCTCCTCTTCAACCAGTTTAAATAAGTCTCAGAGCTCCCCAAATAATGTCTTTAAAGTGTCTTGTTCTAAATCCACTCTGATCCTGTATTTGATCATGCCTATAACCCCTCTATTTCAGCCCTACTCAGAACAGGCTGTTTCTGTGTCTGTAGCTTTAAATGTAAATGAGCTGTGTCTGACCACGCCCCCTCTATGGATGAGGATGTGCTTTGGACTTGCTTGCTCCATGTCCTATTGTTTACGGTGAGAAGGCAGACTCAGAGGGCAGAACAAACACCTAGCTGTGGGAGTGTAACCCACCTGGGGGAGGGGTGACTGCCCTTTGTGATGTCATGAAGGGAAAATCTCCAAACGGCCTGTTTGAGCACACATTTTGTGAAAAGTGGAGCAGGCAAAAGACGGAGAGGATGGACTTTTCTATCATTGGGGGGTTTGTAGACAGGCTAGGGACACATTCTTGATAGAAAACTTGCATTTTGTAATTTGCATAATATGTGACCTTTAATTAATGTAAAGATAAGATTTCACTCTGAGAAAATGTGTTTTGAGAGCAGGTGGTTGCATATTATCACCGGTCTTTACAGTGCAGTTTCCGTCAGTAAAATTCATTTAAACTTCTAATCTTTAACACAAATCCCACAATGTCCCTTACTGGGTTTTAGATGTAACATGTGAGATATTTCACATTTTAACACAAAGACAGAAAACGTTAACAGCCATTTTAGGGTCGTATTTTTGGATTGTGTAGATACAAAAGTGTTAGTGTAGATAAATCTAACGTTTAATGATTTGATTCCCACATTGTCTGACTTTGTCTTTATGATTTGTCCTCACAGGTTGCATTGTTTCCTGGCTGTGAAGGGTTAACATACGACTGTGTTTCTATTATACGTATAGAAGAAACACTCAGGACCAATTTCAATTTAATTTTGACCTGATGGTGGTACTATAAGCAAAAACAACCACCAGAAATAATTTCAGTGCCTCTATTGGGGAATGTCGCTGTACACACTTTAAAAGCAACCTGTCCGGATATTGTTTGGACATTTATGTCTGGACAAAAGTAGTCGATTGACTATCTCTAAATTTGTTTTTTAGTAGCTTTTTTCATTATCAGATTTTTTTTGCGACCATTTGGGGAAACCCTGCCCCAAGTTTCTTTTTGTTTCATGTGAATTTCTACATTTAAAGTTCTAGCTACAACCTCAGCTCATTTCGTAGACATAAAACCTGCAGAATCTTTGTGAACGATTGGTGTTAAAGCAGCTGTTTTTAAAAAGGATCCACTTTGATTTGTGTGATTTTACTTGCATATGCAGCAGAAATGGAAGATTAAAAATGATTGAGTGTGATTCGATTTTTAGGAATATAAATAAAGTGAAGATTGAGCTCAAAGGATCTGATAGAAAATCAGAATGTAACAGAAACCTTCACGCAAACGTCGGACACAGAGGGGTTCAACATCTGAAAACACACCTGCAGTCAGCACAAGTACACAATGAGTTTATGCAGACTGGGTAGTTTTCATGAGTGAATGAACCAACTGCTGACCCACAATGATCTTTACGCTGAGAAAGAGTTGCAGGTGTCTGGCATCCTTAAAAATATGAAACAGCTAATTCAAAATACATGATCAGTTTGGAGTATTTGAAATAATTAGAAACTATTTAAAAAATGCAAATAAGCCAATATGTAACATTTTCTAATCTAAAAAAAAATCTAAATACTAAGAACTTTGCGGTTTAGACAAGTCTGAGTCAAGACCTCGATAAGCCAGAGTCACAACAAGTCTGAGTCAAATCACTGATAAGACCTAGTCACGACAAGTCTGGGTCAAATCCTCAATAAGACATCGATAAGCTAAAGTCAGGACAAGTCTGGGTCAAACTACCGAAAGCTAGAGTCACAATAAGTCTGAGTCAAATCACTGATAAGATCTAGAAACGCCAGAGTCACAACAAGTCTGAGTCAAAGAAGATAGAGGTAAGACCAAGTAAAACATTCACAAGACTGTGATAGTTAAGACCAATCCAACTCAAACCAACCACCAGAATAAGATCAGTCAGAGTCAATATTATTCCAAGTTACAACAACCACAAACAAGGACGGAGTCAAGTCATGTCAAAATTAAATCTTTCAGAGAGACATGTAAGAACCTAAACAAGTCCAGGTCAAAAGAATAACAAGACATAGTCAAAGTCAATGTCAAATTACTCACAAGACTGGCAAAAGTCCAAGTCATATTACAAGCAAGAAGTGGGACAAGCAAAAGTCAAGACAAGCCCAAGTCAAAAAACTCCCCAGACGGAGCAAAGTTAGATACAGGATGAGTAAGAGTCAAATCCATCCATCCAAATCGGAGGAGTCAGAGTCACAACTAGACCAGGTGATATCAGTCACAAGACTGGGAACAATGTGAGTCACAAGTCCTGTTTGTATCCCTCATAAGACTCAGACAAGTCAGGGTCGAGACTAGATCTGACCAAATACATAGAAGGGTGAGACAAGGCAAGTCGCTTACAAGCCTGAGATGAGTTAGAATCAATCAAGTCCGAGTCTTACTACTTGAGAAACAGAGAGAACTAAGAGTAGAGACAAGTTTACATCCAAACAGCCGTAAGACTGAGACGAGTCAGAGTAACAGCTCTAAAGGCAGTGACTCAGGCAGCAATGCTTTGTGCAACACAGAAACACTTGTATCACTTTGGTTTGCACCCAAAGTGTCTGACTTTTGTTTATACATCATATTACCTTTACAGAAAACATCTGTAACCTCAAGATAAGACCATCAGGTCATGGTCGGAGGATTCTGGGGTCTCATCTGCAGAACAGGAGATCAATAATGCTAATCATTTGGATGCCAGACACCCCACATTCATTTGGGTGCGGCACTAAAACAACAGGAAAAAATTCAAAATCTATTTCCAAGTATGGCCTTTCTGGCTATTCAGGATGTTACTACACCTAAATACCTGTCAGTGGGGATCAATGTTTAAGACTTTCAGAGCCAGAAAGTGATGTTTTTTTTCTATATTTACTGGAGATCTTTGTCGTGTAACAGTTTTCAATGATGGTAACAGAAGCAGTGGGGTTGAAAACAAAAAGAAGACTCCAGTGTCTTGCAGGGATTCATTTGGGTTTAGGGTTTATATTGCACAGGGGTTGGGGAGATCCTCAAACACCGTCGGTTCTTCTATGCCTCGTGCAAACAGCTTGATCAACTGGCAATGCACTCTGGGGAGAAGAAGAGAGAGTTTTTAGGAGGGTTAAACTATTTGATAATACAAAAGTATGAAATACCCCAAGTGTTGTGTTACCTGACATCAATGGCTGTGTGGGTGAGGATCTCGCCATCGCAGTTCCAGCTGCTGTAGGCGGGGGCACAGCCACAAGCTGGGTGGTCTCTGCATATCTGACTGAAGATCTGTCGTTTGCCGTGCTCCCGCAGATCCAGCTCCAGGTCGGAGTCGCTCTGGCAGTGACGCGGAGTGAAGCGGAAACGACGCACACGGTGGACTTCAACAAAAGTCAGGTCAAACTGGAAAAACAGAAAAAGGTGTGACTCTACCAGCTGTCAGCAAACTGGTCCAAACGGTTTGATATCCCCAGCACAAGATAGTTTTTTCTTTAAAAGATTTTCATGATGATTTGGGGAGAATAACCCACATTGGTGATTCAAATACCTGGTCGTCTTTGCTGGTGTGTCTGAGGAGGTGTCTGAGGAAGTCAAAGCGGGAACATTTCCGCACCAGGATGAGGTCGGTGGTGCCATCAGCCAGGTGAGCTGCAGGTGAGAGGCCTTTGGGGCTGCGAGGACAAGCACAGCTCATACTGGCAGCGTTTATCGCCAGAAACTTCCCTCTGATTGTCCTCCACTCGCCATCACTCTCTGAGACCAAAACACACATTTTTAGATTTTTTTTTACTGCTGCTGAACAAAGTTAGTCTTTTTTTCAAAAGGAAAGTTGATATTACTTTACTATATTACTTACAGGAAAACAACAAAAAGCAATTGTGATCCTTGACCTTGGTAAAGATCTCTGGAAGAACTGTTTCTTTGACCTTTAACTGAGTTTTTATCATCCAGTTGCCGTGTTAGGAATGAACTTAAAATCACACCTTTAAAGCCAACATTGATAAGAAGTTGTTAAAGTGCTGACGAATTCAACATTTGAGCATCTGTGTTTCCATGACGACGGTTTCAACTCTCTGTCTGCTGAGGTAGACCATGAGATATGATCGATAGTCCAGAGCAGCGACTACATGGTTGAAAGGATATTTTTTCTACTTTAGGAGGATACATTTCTTAGCCCTAGTGTCTTGGTACAAGACTACACTCAAGATCCCAATCTGTGGCGCACCCTAGGGCTCCTTTCTTAGCCCCTTTAGTTTTACGAATAAAGAATAACGCATTTTGAGATACAAAACGAATCAACATGTAAGAAACACAGGTAGGGATAGTACGAAACAGCAAACCAGGTTAATGTTTTTACAGCTTCCGGGCTGAGTGACTTTTTCAATAGAAATACATTTATTAAATGTTCAAGATGGTTAGGCAATTTTCTCATTCATTGTGTTTGAGGCATCTGATGACGTTTTTGTTGGACTCACCGCTGTCTGATGTTTCATCCATCTCGTACCTCTCGGCTCTCTCTGAGAGAAGCTGCCCGTTGTGTTGACAAACCACACAGCTGGAAATTGAAAGACAGATAGATGTTATTGTAAAAGAGGCACAAAATAATAATTGCTCAACTGATCTCAACTGTTGGGTTCAGGTGATTTGACAGTTTAGTCTAATTAAAAGCAAGGGCGGCTGTGGCTCAGTTGGTAGCCACAGCCACAACCCTGAATGCTCCCGCTGCTTCGTCGGCGACATATGAGGAGATTAGTTACTTCTGATGGCAACCTCTGCCATCAGTGTGTGAATGGGTAGATGTGACATGCTTACCCAGATCGACACCTGGCTGCATCCCGTGGGGTACCCATGGTTCCTCTGGCAGGTAGGTAGGACACTGTTCCCTCATAGTAATGATGAGTGAGAAACATCTTCAGACCTGCAGGAGTCAGAGTGTCAACATGAAGCCAGCTAAGGTGTTGAAATAAATGAAACGGACAACCAAGGATCACTGTCACAGACACAGCTTCTATTCAAACCATATCATTATACAGTATCACGTCTATATAGAGGGATTAATTTGACCTTTTTGTTAAAGGTCGTCATAGAGAAGAGAAGCCATTATCACCATGTTGGATTTTCTATTTAAAACAATTCAGTGTCATATTTTATTTCTTTTTTTAAGCACATGGTCTGTTCATACCTGAGAGGTCGTATCTGGCCGGTCCCATCCATCTCTTCCTCTCACTGTCAGTTAGCACATCGCCGTAGAAACCGTATCCAAGCAGGGACACAGAGTACCGCAGGAAGGTGTTGTTGTGGTGAACAGAGCACACGTCCATCGGCTGAGAGTCTCCTAAACACCCACCCACACAAAACACATAAATACACATCATCAACACACTCATCTGGAATCATTCCCTGGTAGACTCTGAATATCCATCAAGAACATGTAAAGTACTTTTCTTAATATACACTAGATGGCAGCATGAGACCATGGAGAGCCCAGAAGTGTAATGTGGTATGAGTCTATTGAAGTAACAAAGGGACAGATTTAAATCATTGTTTAAATTAGCACACAAAAGAAATCATAAACTTGAGCCACATATTACTGAATTATGAAAAAACCCCTCTGATTGGCTGTTATATGACCATGGCCTATGCCTGGGGATGTAGCCATTTATGAGAAACCTGCAGACTTATTTGATTGATTGATTGTATTTATTTACGTGTCATGCACCAAAGTGCCCAACCTTCATGAGTTTATAAGACAGCAGAAAGCAGTGGTTTCAGTAACATTTCATAACATTACAAATTTGCATGTTCCTGTCACAGCTCAGTCTTAAACGCCCCCTAGTGATACATATGTGTCATAGGGCTGGGTGATATGACCTCAAATCAATATCACAATTAATAAACGATTATTTGTTTTTTTGCCCTCATAGTTCACTGACATGGTCTCTACAGTAAATAAAGCCGGGATAGAAAGAGTGCATATCTGATGAACTATTTTGTGGTTATTTATTGAATATTTGGAACCGAAATCAAAGCATCGCTTGAAATAAAAACGACACATTTTAGTTTTAAAGTAGAAATTAACGTCTCTAAAAACAGTAGAAAATGAATAACTTGCATTTCTTGCAAACAGTTTTTCAGCAGTGTTTACATTTTACTTATTTTGTTAGGTGTCGTCTTCCCTAAAGACAAAATGAATCCAAACGACGGACACTGCTTCCATGCCCGAATCGGACATGTTGTCACATGACTCTGCCCTGAAAATAATCAACATGGGCAAGATTACATCAGTTAGAGGTTCTGATTGTTGGTTTCGATTAATTTTCGATGAATTTCCCAGCCCTAATGTGTGATTTTATTTTCTACTGGGGAGGTTTGTTAAACTGAATCACTGCAGCACAATCATCATCCTCTGAGTTATTTATTTATCAGTGACATGTAGGCATTGTTACATCGATTAAAGTGCAACACATGCGATGTATATAGGACTTCTAGCCATGGCTAATTTACAGTCCTTGTCCCTGGTTAGGCTTTTAGGAAATAACACACATGATACAACAACGCTGAAAAATAGACATAAAAACTGACGATTGCAGAAGACTTAAGATAAGCAGTGACATAGATGCATAGAAACAAATGCATGTCTGATGTATAAGGTTATAGATAAACTGTCTGATACTGAAATGACTTGTATTGTTTTTTTTAACTTGATGTGACTGACCAACAATGATGTGCAGTGCTGAGGTCACGGGGTCGTTGCTGCCCACAGTAGCGAAGCAGATACAGTCAGTTGAACCTGAAACACAGAGAGGAACATACATCATCACATCCACTTATTCTTATCGGCGTATCGTTCATGTTCAGAACGTCCCCGAGCTCGACTGATGGTACTGAGAACCTCACACGTTTCATTGTTTTTAGAGAAGTTCAACAGTTCTGCACAAACACAATACTGCACTTTTCACTTTTCAAAGCAGGTTGAGCTGCTCAGAGAAAATAATGTCTCCCTGACGGCTGTGTGTGTGTTTGAGCGAGCGAGAGAGAAAGAGAGAGAGAGAGAGAGAGAGAGAGAGAGAGAGAGAGAGAGAGTTTCTCGGTTTTATCTATTTCAATGTATTTTTATTTATAGAACGCCTTTACAGACAAGTAAAAAACAAAAAGGAAAGAAACAAAAAAGGGAGAAACGAGGCCACTGTCATTTGTTCTTTCTATTTATACCATCAGGATGTTGAAGTTCCAGCACTCAAACTTTGCAAAGAAAATACATATGCTGTTTTCACATCTGCACTCCTGGAAATATCTAGATCAATTCAGGAGGACTGCTCTGTATATTCTCCCAACCTAGCTGTTCACATTATACTCCTCACAGCGGGAGACTATCCCTGTCAGCCGGTGGGGGGGTGGATGAAGCCAATCACAGTATAGAAATGTCACTCCCCCTCCTATTGGCTCGAGGTGAATTCTTAAGATAATATCCTGCTGCGTTCTCACATCAGCTCACTCTGACTTGCTGCGGAAAAATTACTAGGGGGTCTGGCAGGAGAAACTCCGGGTGAAGGCAGAGTGAAAAACTTGCTGTTTGTGTTCACACATGCAGTGTGAGTTTTCTACAAGTGTGAAAACAATAATAGACAGGAAGAAGCAGTCTTTGAAACAGTGTAAGTCCAGGTCACAGCATGTTTTGTTATAAAACAACTCTTTGCTTACTTCTCATTACCTGTTGGGGCATTTAACCTACAGTCGTCACTAAGAGAATAACTCGGGACAGAAATATAAAAGCAACACTTGCGTTGAATTAAACGATCTGAGCCTGTTTCTCTGTGTGTTTCAAACTGTTAGTGAGCAGCTCTCCTTAACCGAGATAATCCACCTGGCAGGTGTGGCATATCAACATGTAAGGTAATAAAAAGGTCAGTCTAAAATGTGCAGTTTTATCTTGAAAAGAGACATTTATTTGGCACTGAACTTTGGATTACGCAGATATGCAGGGAAGGGTCAGAAAACCTGTGAACGTGTAAAAAAAAAAACAGAAAGTGTTTATTTTCTTGTTCAGTGAGAATTAATTCATGTTAAACACTGCGGATGTAAATTCCGCCGCCAGGGGGCTCTGAATCAAAACAATAACAAAAGATGACATCGGGGCTGGCGGGGAATCATTGGAGGGTTTCTCTTTTTAAAGGGGTCTGCTTCATTTTTCATGAATTTTGATTCTGTGTCATGTTACCACTCTGTTAGATGGACAAAAATGAGACATCAGATCTCTGCAAAAATAAGAACAAAAATTAGCCTCAGTATATCTTTTTCAATATTTTTTTTGGAACCTTTTTGCCTGTATTGGCAAGGAAAGCTTGAAGAGAGAAAGGAAATGCTGGAAGGAGAGAGTAAGGGACGACATGCAGCAAAGGGTCGAGGTTGGATTCGAACCCACGGCCGCTGCACAGAGGACTATTGCCTCCGTACATTGGGCGCATCATAACTGCTAGGCTCTTGGCCCCCCAGGAGCATGATTCTTTAGGCTACATTCATCCCTCTTCTTCAAGGCCCTCTGTAAGCTCTTCAGTGCCCAAATCAATCCCCACAAGGACCTCCTCCATCACCTCCTCAAGCCCCCCTACAACCTCCGGAACGATGTTTTGACCCCCCTGAACGACCTTTACAACCTGCCCAAGTCATCTACATATTTTTGCTACTCTGAAGGTTGGAGGCAACTTCCTACGTTTCATCATCACCAAAATAGAACCAGCGTGTTGAGGAGTTTCTCACCTGCAGGGATGATTCCAATGCGAAGCGAGCAGGAAGCCAAAGTTTCGTCCGCACAGTTCGGATCGACGCCGCCGTCCATCTGAGTCCTCCAGATCAGGCCGTGGATGATCTCGCTGAACATGCCGTCTCCTCCGACACACACCACCCTGAGCGGGGGGCAGAGTCACATGTTAGCTAAAGCTTTATAAAGTCATTACTCCTGATGGTTGATGTTTTGGAGGCTCATTCATTCATCGACTCTAACGCAAACTGACTGAGCCTTATTATTTCTTGCACTGTTTTTCCGCTCTGTGGCGTCAAAGAGCGTCAGCGACACGATGCTCACCCATCATACTTCTTCAGCTCCGCCTCCGTCCTCAGATGATCCCTCGCATTATTGGCGTGCGCCGTCACTATGATCACAAACACAGCGAGTTTAAGATGTACAATCCCTACTTGGAAAGATCAGAACACTGAACGTGAAGGTTAACGAGACGAACCGATGACATCCGCGGAGACTCCTGCCTCGGCGAACAGCGGCGCCACCTTCTGCTCGTAGATGTGTTTGCCCTGCCGCTTCCCGCTGTACGGGTTGATGTAGACCAGCAGGTGTTTCGGTCGGCTGGCTGTAGAAGAAAACAACAACCCTCATGGACTCGCAAGACAGAACATCTGGCTGAGTATTTGAAGGCTAAAGATTGTAGAACATTTGCGGTGTAATGTCAGCTCACACCGGATGACTTCAAGTGAGTTCATGTGCTCACGCAGTACGAGTTAAATCTGGACAGAACATTCACAAATATTAAAAGAAACCTCCCACAGACGGAGGTTGTTCTCTCATATGCACAGCTCAAATATGCCTGCTGGCAAAAACGTGCTCTCTCGCTCTCCCACACACACACGATCTGTATCACATAAACACAAGCTTACATGCAGCTTCACAAATCATCACAAATATTCCGTCAGCTGGAGGTCCATATGGCCTACTATAATGATTTATGAATTAAAAAAATATATTTTTCTCCGCTCCAGAGCAGTTTTGGGGTTCAGTGCCTTGCTCAAGGGCACCTCGGCAGTGCTCAGGAAGTGGACTGGCACCTCTCCAGCTAACAGACCAATTTCTGGACTTGGACTTGAACCAGCGACCCCCCCGATTCCCAACCCAAGTCCCTACAGACTGAGCTACTGCCGCCCCATTCATATAGTTTGTCAAATGAGAGAGACTGCACTTAAACAAAAACAGATACAAACTGAAGGTGTCCTTTTTTTGTGTTATTTATTTTTAATTCATCTTTTTAAATCACTTGAGCCTTTGTGTACTCGCACTCTGCACACACCGTACGTCCATTAACTGTGGAAGATTTTAGTTCAGGGATGTTGAGGTGGAGATTGTGATTGTGCCTCTCAGCGTGTGTGTTGGTGTTAAATCTTACTGATAGCGGCGAGCTGATCTCTGATGCTGCTGACCCAGCGTTGACACAGCGCCTCCTCTGGACAGATGAAGGTGACCTCGGCACACCGCCAGCGGTGCTGCTGATTCCTCTCCACGTACATCACTGAAACCGAACACACACAAATCTTTAAAAATATATGTATATTCATGGTCCGTTTTTGCCTTTATTAGAGAGGACAGCTGAAGAGTGTTAAATTCCTCCTTAGATTCCTCTCGTGTTAAATATATTAATGTGTATATTTGCTGGGTAAATCATTTCTCCTGGGTTTAATGTGATCCTACACGTTTCTGCTGTCTCATGGGGCGCGTTTATTATGTAACAGATGTTTTTGTAAATGTGTTTTCAGGATTGTTCCAGGTGAGTGTAGAGGAGCTTAAAGATTTTCTTTTTCGAGATTAATTTGGATATTTTAGCAGGTATTTTCAGGAGGTTTATCTAGAGTGTTAGCTGTGGGTTTACCAGATGTATTTTCAGGGATTTGTGCAGTGAATGCACAAATGTGTTTCCAGATGTTATTACAATACGCACAGATGTGTTTTTTGTATTAACGTGTGTGTTTGCAGGTTTGTTTTCATTTATGTGAACAGCTGTGATTCTAGTTTTACTGTCTGTCCACGTGTGTGTACAGATGTGTTTTTAAACATGTTTCCTGTATTTCCAGATGTTTTAACAGATGTAGATGTTCTCTGTATATACAGGTGTTTTCACAGATGTGTTTAAAAGTTATGTGTAGTTGTGACTCTAGATTTAATTTCTATGCTTCTAAATGTGTTAATTTTTCTTGCACAATCTGTTGTTCAACCAGATGCCCCCCCCGCCCCCACATGCTAAAGGTGTGTTTACCTGTGAAGGCCTGCCTGCAGTCCTTTCCTTCTCTCTCTTTGATCTTCTTCCAGCTGCCATCTTCTATTTTTCGCCTCCTGCTGGTCTCATCCTCTTCCTCTCGGACAGAGATGATCTCTGACACTGGCACGCTGTGACACACACCTGAACACAAACACACACACACACACACACAACTGTTCATCAGGATCTTCTTTGCAGCGCATAAATCCAGCATCAGATAGCCCAGTGTTTTCATCCATAGATGTTAGATTGTTATCTGTCTGAAGAAAATCCAGCAATTTTCCTGTAACAACATTTAATTAAAAATGATTTATCTCTGGGGCGCCTGTGGCCTAGTGGTTAGTTTGTGCGCCCCATTTTCAGAGGCCGCAGTCCTAGATGTGGGCTTCCCTCCCGGGTTCAAATCCGACCTGTGGCTCCTTTCCTGCAGAGCATATCCCTCACTGTCTCTCTGTCCTGAATTTCCGACTCTATCCCCCGTCCTATCTCCACAATAAAGGCACAAAAATAAAGATTTCTCTGAAGCAGCATCAGCGCATGAATCTGAAAAGTGAACTACAGCAGATGAGCAGAATATCTGAGACTACTGAGCCAAACTACACAACAGAAACAGACCGAGCAGCAGCAGAAGGAAGAGAGCATGTTTCTACTGGATTTGATGTAGCACTAAAACTCACTCTATCTACTTCTCTGAGGTTTATTCCACAATGGGATGTTTGATTGATCTTTAACTCATTTAAGTTTTAAGGGATGGGGGAAAACAGCGCTGATAAAAGCTCTGTGCTGAAACGCGCCCGTTGTTGATCCATACGCTGCTACCCTAACAAAAATATCCCTTTAATTGGCCCCTTTATAAATTCACAATGAACAAGTCCCAAACAAACGAAATATGCAATATAATCTACGAAAGTTCAGTTCAAATTGTCTTTTTAGTCCACAGAAAAAGAAGGACTTTCACTTTGCGATTATCGTTTTACTCCGCCAAACCAATGACGTTTGATCATCCAGGACAGAGCAGCATAATGAGATGTTTTCCTATAGTTTGGAATTTTAGATGATTATTTCAAAATCTTTTAATAACTACAAAACGGAACAACCTTATAGGGAGAAATAGCTCATAGCGGACAGATGGACGAGCGAGATTGAGCGAGTGTGTCATTACGCACAGAGGAGAAAGATGAAACAGACACTTAAATTGTTCACCTGTTCTATTGTAACTTAATTTACCAGAGTAAAGTGTGCTCTACACTGCAGACTGTAGTCTTTGTTAACAGAATGTTTCTGTCCAAACAGCTTCAACATGCGATGAGTGCGTATTGATGTCCGCGCGGCCGCCTGCCACACTGCTCTAATTATAATAAAGTGTTAAAACGGTCATAACACGTCTGTGTGAATTTTTATTTGAGGTTTGCTGTCTGTTGAAGTAAGAAATTTCCTAATTTGAACATTAATACAAAGGCATCTTACTAACAATTATTAAAATCCCAAAGATTCAAATTAATCAATAGATACAGTCGGCATCACGTCATAGTTGGGGACGGGGCCTCCCGTGGGGCAAAAGAATCACAGAAAAAAAACAAATTACAAAACGATTACTCGAGTACTCGCTTTAACAATGGGAACAGTAATCATTTAGAGAAAATTTTGCATTTCTGCACCCCTAATATCCATAATACCAAATATTGGATGCCTACTTTGCCTAGGAAGTCAAAATGTACTTTTAAACTTGAAGTCAATGTTACAAAACTGGCAGCATCTCTTCTCTGCAGCAGGTCAGACATTAAAGATTCACACCTGAAACACAAACACACACAGTTGTCTCAGGGCTACACACCCCGCAGGTGTTTCTGCTGTCCCCATGACTACAGAAACTCAATGCAGTGTTTATGAAAAACAGCTGGTCTGTGATCAGCAGAAACACTGAGTCACTCCAGGAGCTCCTGCAGGTAACTGCTTCATGTTCAGATGTGAGCTGAACCTCGTTATAGGGACATAAAAATCTCCCACATAAGGAACGATATAAACTACAAAAGAGGACATCTGACATCTTTCATTTGTAAAAGATATAAGATACAAGATTTCAGTTTTTATTTCTGTGACATAAAAACTGAAAGAGATGATTGACTACAACTCCCATGGTACAAATCAGTGAAGACATCAAATTCTGTTTTGCAGCCTGTCCTGCAGACACTGAGCAGGTCTCAGTGCAACATGAAGCATCCTGTAGACACTGAGCAGGTCTCAGTGAACCCTGAAGCATCCTGCAGACACTGAGCAGGTCACAGTGAACCCTGAAGCATCCTGCAGACACTGAGCAGGTCTCAGTGCAACATGAAGCATCCTGTAGACACTGAGCAGGTCTCAGTGAACCCTGAAGCATCCTGTAGACACTGAGCAGGTCTCAGTGAACCCTGAAGCATCCTGCAGACACTGAGCAGGTCTCAGTGAACCCTGAAGCATCCTGTAGACACTGAGCAGGTCTCAGTGAACCCTGAAGCATCCTGTTTGATCTGATACCTTTTGCACCAGCTTTGAATAGTCAAATTTCCTGAACACAGATTCATTTGTCTGATAAACTTCCATGAACAGGGAGAATCTGCTAATGAAGATAATGCTGATCAGAGACACATGTTAACATGTCGGCAAGGTACTCTATAAACAGATATCAATATTAAACGCACAGAATGTTTCTGACAAGACATGTCCCGTTACAAGTATAAACTAAAGGATATCTCTGGCTTTGAAAACTGTTGGATGTATTCGAGGAAATGTAAGTACTCGATAAAATAAAATGAACCGTGTACGTGAGTGTCTGTTCAATCTCTCTCCGTCAAACTGCTCAAACGAGTCATCAGAGGAGTCATAATCTGACTTTAAGCACCTGATGAGTAATTATTAACCGTGTTACCCGAGAGGGCAGTAGCGGAGCGAGTGTGGGGGCAGAAGGTGCGGCCGCCCCGGGCCCACTGTTGTCTCAAGGGGCCCACTTTGAGCCAAATTTAACATGCGTTTTGTTATTTAGTTGAATTTTCGAAGAAAGTTAGTTTGACCAGGTCTGAGTCTCTCTTTTCTTTTGCCGCAATCAAGACACACAATGTATTTTGTAGAGCAGAGAGGGGCCCCCTTCCACTGCCAAGGGGGTTCTCAACTTCGGCAGCAAACAGCACCAGCAGGGTGTAATGTTTGTAATGTCATTGATTCCACCTCTTAGCACCCCCTTTGCTGGGCCCCCCGCTGCTGTCTGGAGTTTTAAAAACCTAGTCGTCTGTCTGCTTTAATTCTGTTTACCTCGCTGTTTTTCGTAACATTAAAAGTCTCAACCCTCAACAACTCAACCTGGCGAGTCTCCTCCCGTTGCCAGCTCCACTAACGTAAACGCTACTAGCCAAGCAAATAAAGATGTTAGCGAGGAGCACTCAGCTAGCTCCGTGCAGGAAAGCAACAGTGCTGATGAAAACTTAACTGGTGAGTTGTTTCATCATTATTTGAGATTACGCTTAGATGCTGGTCTTTGTTTGTGGGTGTATGTGTTGTAGACCGCTGTGTCTGCTTGGTTATCGTACTGTATGAACAGCTGTCACACTGTTTACAAAGTTTGTTGTCGTGCGTGGGTTGATAATGTGTGTTTTATTGTATTGTCTGTGTGGCTGGATGAGCGTCCAACTTCACTGAATGTCAAACTGTAGTTGCCTTCTATCTTTGGTTTCCCGTCCCGTCTGCTTTACTTGTTTAATCGGTGGAATATGCGCACAGACATATCAGCACTTGTTCTGCTTAAACATCAGCAGGTCACTCACTGATAAGTCCCTGTCTCTGTAATAGCACCCTTTGTAATCTGCAGCGGCATTTCTCTTCGTCCCGCCCCGTCTTGTATCTCCATACAGCCGATACGATACCATAAATGCTATACTATATTACTATATAGGCTACAGCATATGCCATATAGCCTATAGACAGTTTAAGGGCCCACTATTGGTCCCTGCCTCCTCTGCAATGAGCCATAGGCTCCGCGCCTGCGAGAGGGATCTTTATTTTTAAATAATATTTATTTGTAATAGTTTCTAACAGTGTTCACAGCTGTAATGGAGTGGTTACAGATGTTTATTTTAGAGAAAATGGGACATAAACTCTGAGTTATCAGCTGATTTAGAAAAGAATAACACATGTAAAGTCACCTGGATGATATTAAAACCTGTTGTATTCATACGTGAGTGTAAATAATGATGAGAGGGGCGAGACGAGGTGTTAACATCAAGCTAGCAAACCTTTTTGTAGCAGAGAACTCCCATGATTCCCTAGCCTCAAAGTTGTTGTTTGTTATTGTGGTATTGATTGAGCGCCCCCCTGGTGGCGGAATCTACATATTGAATCTTTAATCGGCCAATATATCTGCACCAAAAATCTCATATCAGTTAGGCCCTAACAGGTACATCAAGTTTGCTCAAGAAGATACTTCAGATGGCATCAGTTAAAGTGGCTGTAACAGCTTCGACTCAATAGTTGTGGCTAAATCCACATATCAACATATGTCCACACTAAGTGTTTGTTTTGGTCACTGACAGGCTCAGTTTGTTTTTCTGAGTGTCTGATAACTTCACGAATAGTAACGCTACGAAACGACACTACTTTCTAACTGTTACAGTGACATAATCACCAGAAATAAGAAAGTGGAAAAAACTGAGAAAAGACTGCTGTTGACACACTTCATCTCCATACTGTGTTCAGAAAACAGCTTGAGAATTGAATGAGGTTTGGTGAGTTGCCTGCAGCCTCAGTGTGACCTCCACATATTGTGTGTCAGGCTGCTGGATGACGTGTTACGTAACCGGATATATCATGTCTCACTTAATAGAACAGTCATTATCTTTTTGCTGTGTAGATTAACACGTTATCTTCGTTGTCCCCTCCGGTGTGTCCCTTTGTTTATCTTGGCCGTGTTTTTAAAGGCCGACAGACAGAGAGACAGAGAGACAGACAGACTGACTCATTGTGTGTGTGTGAGACAAACAGAGAGATAAATAAACAAGTTTCGGGTCTTACTGGGTCTGAATGGGTGGTAAACGGGGCTGGAAACCCGTCTCTTCCAGGTGAGCAAGGACCGGCTCAGGCTCACATCGTACGCCGCGTTTCTGACGCGAAGCTCGGAGAGCAACAGCAGTCTGCTCGGCCTCTCCATCTGCGCGTATCCGTCCTGCTCCGTCCTTCAGCCGGCTGAAGAGGCAGCAGCAGCTCCGGGGAAGGTTACCTGTCACCGGGCATGTTCTCTGTGTGTGGCCAGCAAGGCTCCAAACCGCGAAATTAAACGACTTTCAGGTGGTGTTATCAACAAAAGTGCGTCCGTGTAGCGGATTCTGGCTCAGGATGTTTTTTTTGACACATAGCGGTTTCTAACCGGAAGTGGGCGGGGCTCAGGGAGGTGCGTTCAAGTTCTGTCCGAAAACTCTGACTATTCTACTCACACGTGGAGTCAGGTATGGCTGCATCCTGGCGCTCTCTCCTCTGTGTGCTCTCGCCTGGATGCATGAAGCCGAGTCCCCTGAGCTTCTAATTTTCAACATAAAGCTCCGGAAATAAAAATATATGTAGTGTACATGTGATATATTACAAACATACTAGGTGCTTATATACGACGGAGGATTAGGGCCATGTTAAAAAATTATATATTTTTTTAATTTCGAGATTAAACTCGTAAATTTACGAGAATAAAGTTGTAAATTTACGACTTTAATCTCGAAATAAAAAATAAAATAAAAAATGTAACGTGGCCCTAGTCCTGCATCGTACTTACTCGTACATACATTCGAGACTAAATTAAAAATAAGCAACTGCTTGGGGCCCCAGGCCAGTAAGTGGCCCCCAAGGGCTGATAAATGTCAAACCACAGCAGTGCCTCAAAATGTGCAAAGTTGGCAATGGCCACAATTGACAGCACTCACTCATATAACAGTAAATGACTGAACGATGCTTGTCTAGCCAAATTTGAGGAGTAGACACTTTATTAACATAACTTCCGCAAAAAAAAAATGTTGGTGTCAGATTATTAACAACATAATGGGGACAAAAGCTGTTTGGAGGAGCACCCTGTTAATTTTTTTGCCTTCGGCCCCAACCGACCCCAAAATCGGCACTGACTAAAGTAGAGTATTGTTTAAGAATTTTATTTGCAATTTCTTGTATTTCAATGTTATTTATTTTTACTGCAGTTTTGGAGTTCAGATCAACATTTTCTGACACAACCTCAGGACGTGAGGAGAACTTTAAAACTCTATGCGAGTGATATAGGGCAGTAGCTCAGTCTGTAGGGACTTGGGTTGGGAACAGTGGCAGTTGCAGAGACCTCTGGGGCCTAAGGCATAAATTCAAAGGGGGCCCTTCCAAACAGCGTTTATCCTCATTATGTTATAAATAATCTGACACCAACAAAAACATTTAGCGGAAGTTATGTAATTAAAGTGTCTGTCCCCCATATTTATGGCTAGATGAGCATCATTCAGTCATTTACTATTATAAGAGTGAGTGCTGTCAGATGAGGCCCCCTTAGGGAGGTTTCCTACTGTCATTGTAAATTTTGAGCCACTGCTGTGGTTTAAAGTTAATCCGCCTTTAAGGGCCCACAACTGGCCGGGGGCCCCAAGCTTGCCTTGCCTGTTGACAAGCAGGGCCTCTGGTTTGGAACTGGAGGGTCGCCGGTTCAAAAGATGCCACCGAGACCCCAACAGCTGAAGGAGCCCCACTCTGACTTCTCTCCATTAATGCATGACCTCCTGTTTGTGCATGTGTTTAATTTAGGCCTATATGTGCACTCTCAATCACAGACAGTAAACCAGAATATATTGTGGTAATCATATTCAGTTCACATATTTGCTTTGAATTAGTTTGTAATGAAGCTCTGCACACTGTTCACTGAATATCGGATGTTTTGATGAACTAGATATGTTCAATAATTTAATTTGACCACATGAAGCCATAAACTTGGTCATTTATCGCTTCTCTGTTCTGTTGTTTATTAGTTAGTTACCTTTGTGATGTCTTATCGGGGAATGCTACATTTACTTACTTCATCCAAGCCAAGGCTTTATCACCAAGTTGTTCGCCATGTTCCCTCCAAGAATCATCGACTTAACATGGCCAAGAGGTTCAATTGTCCCTGTGAGCCCTCGTTAGATTCTGTACCTATTAAGCCCTTTGGTTTGATCTTCTGTAAATCACTATACTTCTAGTGATGAAAGATACAACAGAAAACTCAAAGTACTTGGTCTTTTCAATTCTCTGATTTTCAAAGATTTTCAAAAATCCAAAACAAAAAACACAACCCAGAATTTACATTCTTTAAACGGTCCAGGTTAAAGTCTGCAATAATTTATATGTAATGATTATCAGGTTGTAAAGCTACAATGATTAATCCGTGTTCTCAAGTGCCTGTTTAATCTCTGGATCAAACTCTTCTCCTTTATGACATTTATCTCCTCTTCACCCTGATACAAAAGTCAACACTGATAAACTTGTATCATTTCACATATCACAGTTTTAAGACTTCAATAAAATAACACCAGCAATGAATAATAATAATAATAAAGATTAGTTTATTATTAACAACAATGACAAACTCATTCTCTGTTAAAATCAAATACATCAACACAACACAGCACAAGTTATAAATCCTGATTCAGATCAAGTGTAGAAACATTGATTGATTAGTAAAAGGTGAAAAATGAGACAGACTAAAACAACATTTCATTCTCTATTTTTTGTTTTGATTGAGATCCCCTTTAGCTTTTGCATAGCAGCAGCCATTCTTCCTGGGGTCAACATGATTTACCCAAATAAACCACCCTTTGAACATCCATTTAATAAGACAGGTGTGTAGGAGAGCAATGAGTCCATCCAAAACTTAAAGATAAACTCCCGCACACTGTCTGACTTGCAAACAAACATTTATTGGCGACACTTCGACACTAGATCTTCATCGGGTAAAAAAGGCAAATAAATCATCGACACATTGTCCATAGATGTTTGTTTGCAAGTAAGACAATGTGCAGGAGTTTACTTTGAAGTCAACATGATTTCTAAAATGAAAAATACACATAACATCACTGTACAATCAAGCAGCTTTACGGTGTTGAAAATTGAAGCCAATGCCGAAGTGCAAAATCCTGCAGTTCGACGAGTATCCACTAGAGGATGACACAACGGTAAAAGAATCAGAGAATAAGATTCAGATGAAAATTATCATCATCATCACACTGAGGCATTTCTTTTTCTACAGTCACAGAGACTGTCCCCGGTAAAACCCTCAGCGGGTGTTCCCCCCCAGTCCTGATGTATGGAAACAGTTTTTCAGAGAACGTGTGTCTGAAGGTGTGTATGTGTGTGTTAGCGTCGAGATCAGAGAACGACAGCTCACCTCTGTCACAGTCCAGATTCACTCTGATCCTCTGGAGCTTCGTCTTCACCGAGAGAACAGTGTTTGAATGGGATGTGGACGATGCTTTGTATGTTTTAAAACTGAGCAGTATCGTCCATAATCCAGAGTGTATGAAACTGTCCCTCTCGACAGACTCTATCACACCCAGAGACCAGTTTGTGCTGTCTCCAACCTCGATGTCCCAGCTGTGAGTCCCTGAGTTAAAGCCCTCAGAGCCCAGGACAGAGCAGAATAAACCGAACCTCTCCGGATTATCAGGAAGCTGCTGTCCCTCTCCTCCTCTCACACAGATCAGATCTTCAGACAGGGTGAGTTTGGGATAAGCAGTGTTTGGATCCAGAATCACAGGACTGTAGGAGACCATGTCCTTCATCTTTTTCCAGATGTTGAAGCTCAGGTTGCCCAGGTGTTTGGCCTGGTTGATAAGAGCTCCCGAGGGCAGCTGTAGATCCTCCAGCAGGGTGCACTGCTGCACTCTTTCCACCGCAGCCTTGTAGTTTTTCAGGAATGAGACGTCTTCGGCTCTCAACTCGTCCTCTGTGGCTCTGACTGTGAGTGAAAGAGTGGCTATCTCTCCGTTCAGAGCCTCTATCTCCTCCTTCATCGTCTGACTCTTCTGCTCCTTTTCCTCCCTCAGTGCACACAGCCTGGCCTCCTCCTCCTCTTCTAGAAACCGGTGAAGCTTCTTAAACTGCTCCCTAATCTCTCTCTCTGTGTGTCGCGCCTGGACCTGAATGTGTTCTGCTGTTTCATCAAACTTTACTTGAACTTCTTTAAAATCCTTTAACTTCTCCTTCAAGGGTTCCAGAGTGTCCTGAAGTTTCTTCTTGTGCTGTTGAGTGGCTTCATCGATGGGTTTGTATCTGTGTTCGCTGTGTTTTCCTGAATCTCTGCAGACGACACACACTGGCTCCTGATGGTCCAGACAGAAGAGTTTGAGTTTCTCAGAGTGCACGCTACAGAGAGCGTCCGAAGTGCTCTGATCTCTCTCCTGCATAAAAATCTCACACAGATTCTTTAAAACCAAGTTGATAGGTAATGCCTTTGAATGCCTTCTCCTACAAACTGGACACTCCTGATTTTCCCTCTCCTTCCACCAGCTCTGCAGACAGTCTTTACAGAAGCTGTGGCTGCAGGACAGAATGACTGGATTTTTATAGATGTCATGGCAGACCGGACAGCACAGAGATTCCTCCAACTTGGACGCCATTTAGCTGAGAGTCAAGCTGAAGCAAAGCAGACGAACAGCATCAGTCACTCCCTTTCAATTAAAGTTTGTGGATTCAGTTTTAGGTTGAAGCGTAGGTATTCTCAGTATCCTCGTATTCCCAGTATTTCCTCCTGCAGCTGTCTGATTATACTATAAGGGTGAATAAGTCCTTCGTCCTTCAGTGCGTCTCGTCTCAGTGAGGCAGAATAAGAAACCTTTGACCGGGCTGTCTCAGGTGTGTCAAGACATGGGGATGGAGATTTATTACTGTGGCTTATTGGGTTCAAGGTTCATAATTTGGTACTTTGAGATCATTGGTGACTGACCAAAACATAACATTTTCTGGACGGATTCCATTACTTACAACCGTGGCGTTGTGTTTCAGCTGTGGAGCTCCTGACCATCCGTCTCCACTGAGTGAGAGCGGAGATTCAAGAGTCCGCTCGGGCCCCATGCAAAAAATCACAAAGGGCCAATCCAACCAATGTTGAAAATTAAATTCCAAAGTTCACATAAGTATTTGTTTTTCAAAATATTTACATTCACCTGAAAGAAAATTCAGTCTTAATTGCATCAGAGAATATGTTCATGTTGACTTAAAGATCAAATTAAAATACAAACGATACGATTGCATTTAGATTTAATTTTTTTGAGTCAAATGATGCATGTTTAATCTGAAAAACTCAAAAGTATTTGTGTTAAGGCATTTTTATTTTCATATTTGCTTTTCCATTTCAGTCATGAGAACTGAATTTTAATCATGTCATACAATGTGCATATTTGGAGATTAAAATTAAACTGCAAACTTGATGAATTAATTCTCATTTACTTTTGAGTCAAACAATGCACCTTTATGAAAATTAAAAAGCATTAATTTGCTTTCCAATTTATTCTACGAGAACTATTTAGTGGAGCATTTTCTGTAAATTAAAAACAATTAATGTATTTTTCTTTTATTATTTTTAATCATGTTATACAATGTGCATACTTGGAGATGGAGATTAAACTGCAAAGTTGATGAATTAAATTTAATTGTATTTTTTGTAGTCAAACAATGCATTCAAAAGCATTTATTTAAATGCATCTGAATTTTCAAATTTGATTTTTATCATTTGAAGTCTGATCCCGAGTTGCTTCCTAAGACGTTTAGCAGCACAACAAGAGTGCTGTCACATGAGGGGTCCCTTGGGAGGTTTCTTACTGTCATTGCAAACTTTGCACATTTTGAGCCATTTCTGTGGCGTATATTTCTCAGCCTTCAGGGCCACCCCTACTGGCCTGGGGCTCCAAGCAGTTCCTTACCTTGCCTGTTGAAAGCAACATCTCTGAACAAAGAGTCCTAAGACACAATATGTGCATAGCAAATAAATGAAGATGCAGGCGATTTCACGCAATTTGACAAGAAGAATAAAGAAATGAAGGAAGATCTTACAAAAATGTAGTTTCTTCACAGTCAAAAGCCAAACACATTAACAGCCATCACCCTCCCTCGGTGAACTGTTCTCTGTTTATGCAAAAAGAAATCCCCCAAATTCCAAAGTTTCACGCAGCACCTGAACGCATCTGAATCTGCTGCGTCCGTCTAAACTGACGTCATCACGTCCTCTGACTGATCTTTTATCTGGAGAAAAAAACAAGTTCCCGAAACTGGAAACTAACAATAAAACTTTGTATGTGTAACTAAATACCTTCTGGACATTCATGCGATATATCTTTAAATGAACCATGATGAATGACGTCATAGTTAACATGTTAATCTCACATTTTTTGTTACAAATAACTCATATATACCATATAACATATATTTTGAGAACAACAGATACAAACAGTTTTTTTCTATTATAGATTATTAAACTGTTTAAAAATATGGCCAAATCCAGCTGACACAATTAATAAAAATAGATTTGATAACTGCCGAGGTACTGCAGATGTAAATATTTATCTCAAGGCTAACTCTGGTGCAGTGCATCAAATTGCAACATTTATGTTTAATATTGTACATGGTCCCTTTACAAATTAAAAGTTAAGTAATAAATTATTAAAGAACAGATCATTTTCATTTGGCGGTCGAAACAATACAATCGTGTGATGGTAACTTTCCAGATTGTCAGAAGGCAAGTCCATTTGTTTACACTGAAGTCCTTCTTTAACATAGTTCATAACACCAACACCCTTCCTACATTTACGATCTCACCTACAGACACTATAACCTAGAATAAGAAAAACACTAGATCTGGTTAAACACACCTCACCCTGGTCAACATATACTTATGTTTCCATGCTCGTTTATGATCGACACTGACAAACTTAATTATGATATTATACTAAATGCGTTAAATACATTTTTTTTATTTTTTTGTTGCTGGAAACAGAAGTGTTTGTGACTGAAACCAAACCCAGCTTGTTGAGACCATCAGCTGATTTAAACTTACTTTTTTATCCCAGGAGGTTTGTGAAGTGTCTCGAGATAACATTCGTTATGAATTGGCGCTGTACAAATAAAGATTGATTGATGAGTGATGAGTGTTTGCAGGTTTCCCAGGATGTGCAGTTCATTTTCCTGCACCTCCTCCTCAGAGGCAGCAGGGGGCGCTGTTGCTGCATACGCAGCTCTGTTTCAATCCACTTTGGTTCATTTCAGTCTAGTTTTTTCTTGGGTATGAAGACTCCCACACTCTGACATATTTATTCAACTTAACTCCAAAAATGTAACTGCACATATCTTTTTTTTAAGTTCATTGATTTTGACTCCCATATTTACTCTCGTTGGGTTTTTTGTTGTTAAAGTCAAAGTCCACTCAGTCAGCCGACCTTATAAACGTTTACTCTGGTTACATTTCATTCTTTTCTAAACTGAGGTTAACAGAAAATACTAAACTGATGTTAAGATGACAAAGAAAAAAAAACAGCTCTATACTTCTACTCTGAAGCAGAAGCTTTTTAAAAGAAGATATGCAACATGTTGGGTTTTAAATGCTTGATCAATTATTCATCCTTTTAACTGTAACAAAATAGATTAAAAAAACATGTAACATTTATTAACTGACACATCTTTTTTTTCCACTCTACTTTTCTTTTACTACTCTTTAAAAAAAAAGGTTAATTTACAGTTTAAGGAATAAAAATTGAACAACAAAGATCTTTAGTCAAAATGCTCCCTGCACCTTTAGCTTATCAAAAACCTTCCTGCTCTCGTTTAAGAGCTACAGTGCTCCATCAGAAAAACCCGTATGACTCTTTTGTAGGAGAGGTTCTCACCTGGTGGGTCAGGACCCAACAGTGGGTCATGGAGCCGTTCTCAGTGGGTCATGAATGTGTGCAAGGGAATTTTCTTTTGGGTCAAATAGTCTGAGGCGCTTTTTAAACACATTTGTTTTGTTCAGTTTCTTTGTATCGTTTGAGGTCCAAACTGAACAACTTCACATGAAATGAATCTAATTCGTTGGAAAGTATCAGACATTTAGGTTTCGGATTTTTCATGAGTAATTGGTGGTCAGCTCTGCACTGTAGGGTCGTCCACACCAAGAACCAGAACTAATAACTGTTAGTCTCAGTCAGGAGTGAAGTCACTTACTGAATTACGAGGTAAACGTTTTCTTACTGGAAAATTGATGTTTCTTACTTCCTGTTGTCAGACTAACACCCCTCTGGCATTCAACTTTAGAGAACAAATAAGACTAGCACCGAGTTTTATGTTATCTTAGACTTTAATTGTTTAGGCTTTGATGTTGATTTTGACCCAGTGACCTCTGAGTTTCAGGTCACACAGTCGTCCCTCTCCTCCCCTGAGAGACAGAGCGTAGAGATGGATGAGTCTGACAGGAACCTCCTCTCCGGACCGTGATGGATGCAGCTGCCTGCGACACTCCAACCGCGGCGAGGGAACAAGGCAGCTTCACGTGGAGGAGGAGCAGGAGGGTGGAGGTCAGGGTTATATATAGAAAACAGATGAGGCACTTTGCCCCACCCTCTCTGTGATGCATGATGACAGCTACTCCAGCTGCGTCCACTCAGGTGATGTCATCTAAAATGGACGATGGGTGAAGTGGCAGAGCAGCTGTCCCAGCATGGCGCCCGGACCCTGCCGGCCCACCGAGTCGAGTAAACTCTGCTCACCACAGCATGAAGGACCAGAGACCGGACAGGTCCGAGGGGGTGGTGACATTTATAGTATTTCCTGAAAACGGTGGAAGACCATAGAGACTGTATGCTCGAGATAGTTTTGCTCTCTGCATTTAAACTTCTGCCTGATGTTTTCCAGTTTGTTCTTCTCCGCTCTTTTGTTGACTTTGTGATTCGTTTACACTCACAGCATAGATACAGAGGTAAACAGTCTCATTTTAGCATCGTGTGGTGGACTGTTGCCTTGTTTCATGCGTGACCAACCACATGAGGATTTCAGGGGCGTTTCTCCTGAAATTATCTAGAAATGCATTTGTGAAAACAGCAGTTATGTCATCATGAAAGAGTGAACCTTTTTATTTTTCTCAAATCAGTACCCTGAATATTCAGTTTTCTCTGATTGAAAACCTGCAGACAACAACCAGATCAGAATATTAGAGGAGAACTTAAGTCTCATTCATTTAGTAGAAAAGTTTCTGGGTTGTTTTTTCACCGTAGAAGTCTGTCCTCCACTTTGATTGGACCAACAGCTGATTCATGCTGCCACAGAGTACCTGCAACATACAAACATAAACCTTAATGCATGTTATAAAATAACATGACTGTAAAATGCACCAAAAACTACACTATAGTCACATGTTATTTCTCCACTTTGTTGTATTGTCATAAAAGCATAAACTTGATTCTGCTGTGTATTTAATCTGCAAGCAGTCAGAACGCAGTTAAAGAAAGTCAGCAGCAAAGTCTTTGTTTATCTTCTTACCCGTTCCTGGCGGTTGACTCTGCCCTCGTGCTCCACAGTCTGTATCACAGCAGGTACACGCGTCATGTCTGCCACTGGCCTCCCTCCACCTGTCATTCATAAGCTTGGCTTCATCAAACTGATCAAAGACTCAGAATAACATCATAATTTTCACATCTTTTGAATTTAAGGGACTTGTGTAATACATTAGTCACTGATGCTACATTTTATTTTGTTATTGTACAACTCTGATTTCTAAGAATAAAAATCAGATAAAACTTTTTATTCTGGAAGAATTTCTTCCAGAATAAAGTGCCAAATAGCAGCAGGGTGAAATAAGAGTCACACAATGAAGCATTAAATAACAGTGGGTGTGAAAA